CCACATGCATGTGCCCAGAAGAATAAAAAGATCTCTCCCTCCCAGTATCTCTAACAATAGCATTTAGTAAGAATCTATAGTCTGATGCAAAAGGGAAACTACATCTATCAGCAAGTATGTATTTGTGAAAAAAAAAAAAATATTTACATGATGTTGAAGAGACACACGAACATCTGAAGCTTTACTGCATGTATTTCTGTTGGTAGGACCATGGTACTATACAGTACTGCTCTATTAAGAAGAATGAGATATTAAGAGTTTCTAATTTAAAGCAATATTTTCCTAAAAATCCTGCAGAGATTACAGTGACCAGAACTGAGAAAAGGAAGAATTAAGTGTTTTTTCTCTAAACAAAGTCAAACACTTCCAACAGCACTTTAAGTTTTAAAGAAAAAGTAAAAGCAGCTGGAGTAGTTTTAGCATTCACAAAAGGGAGGGACTGAGAGCACTCCAGTACAGGCAGAGTGCAGGTAGATGATGGACAAGCTTTCACATTTATTTCTGCTAATGCATTTCACATCCTGCTCTGCGGTGTTCCTAATATTCAAGCCATGGGGCCTCTTCAGCAGAGATGACAAACCACACTAAAGTGTGTGGTGGTTTTGTGATATAGATCGATGCCCACAAGGGAAAGTGGAATGCTGTCACTTCAGATTTGGCTTCACAACCAGACTCACAACGCATCTTTTAATGACAGGCAGTCTTCATTTCCTACTCATTCCAGTGTGATTCCATTTTAACAGAGATACTTGCAATACAAAGAAGCATGCAAAGAAAAACCTTTTGCAAATTTTCATTCATAGTAAGCAAGTTTAATAGAAGATTCAAATCTCACCAGTTAAAAGACATGCAATTTGAAGCCTAAATAATCTAAATTTTGACTTTATAACATACGTTTCCACATCTGAAGCTTCACTTTTATCCCTCCTCCTCTTAAAATTACCAAATTCATCTAACTTTATTCTCAGCGATTAAGAGAAAATTTGGGAAATAACAAATGCATGACCAGACTGTAGAATGCATAAATATTTCAACTGAATTTTATACATCCCATTTCTCCTTGCTTTCAGGAGATTGCACTGGAGTGGCTGTTTATATCTAAATGTGAATTCCAGTACTTATATTCATCTAAAGGAGATTATATCTACCTGCTGCTCTTTAAGGTAAACAGCAAAGACATCCATTAAATCAGTAACCCTAGTTAGGATATGGAGTCTCTCTCTCCTCTTGAAAATAAGGGGAAACTGTGAAGGGGTGGTGCAGAGACCAGACACAGAAAGTTGTCAACCAGGACAGCTTTTACAAGATCTTGTTGCATTAAAACACACATAATCCCACCACACAAGACACAAACATTTTTCAAACCCACTTTACATACAGAAAAGTCAGTGTAATGAGATTTTCAGACATAAATGAGGCAACAGAAGAACCAATCTTGTAAAACAAGCAAACAAAAGTCTCACCAGAGCTAAATGTTACAGTACCGTAAATATAACCACACTGCTCAACACAACGAAGTTCAGAATTCTTGCTGCAGGACACAAGTATATATATTCTAAACACAGAACAGAAAGACTGCCCTCTCCCAGATTAGACACTAAGCACTCCCTCCTCTTAATATAACACAAATTCATCTATTTTGTATTTCCTGTGAGTCTGTCACATGGCAGTGCTACCCGATCTGTGCTAAGCGGTATTTTCAAAGAGAATAAATCTGGCGACAGTTTTAAAACTCGCTAGACCAAACTTGCATGCTTACAGGAAAGATAAGAATAGCATGTCTGTGCAAAAGTAGTACAGAGGTGGTATTTTAACAGCATATGAGCCTCTAATTCCAATTTTCTTCCACACTTTTCTTGAAAAACACTTAACAGGTGTAGCTCCATCATTACAACAAAACTCAGCTATCAAAATCTTCAAGACAGTGCAGCTCAAGCTGGTGTAACCCAAGGCAGTACGGAAAGAAAATCGTGATGTAGAAACAGATGTCACTGTACATTTTTCAGAATATGGCATTACCCATTGCTTTGTATGCATGGCTCCACCGGATGTATTAAAATTACACTTCTTAACACACTATATTAGCTTCTTTATTCCAAATATATAGAAGTAAAGTAGGAATAGCATAGTCTTTATTAAAAGTTTCTATTTACACTGCATGGCAGCAATGCCAAAACAAAAATCTGGTTGTCTCTCACCAGGGAGTATCCACTTTCCCTTTAGCATTATGTGTGCACAAACTGAGCAGTATTTAATTCTTTCTGTATTACAGTAAACATCCAACAGGTTAAAATAAGACCTAATTCTTTCATATGGACAGAGGCAGGTTTAGCTAAAACCCAAGAAATTACCCTGTGATGCACCCACTGCCCTTTCCCTGCCTTTTCTAGTCTTCTATTAGCGGTAGTAAAATCCTGCTGAGTTTAATGCACACAATTAACTTCCTTTAGTTTCATTTTAATTACACAGGAAAAAAGAAAAAATAAGCATATATTTGTGATGAAGGATATTAACTACTTTGTACTGGTTAACTGAACTAACCAGGTTTAGTACAGCTCTGACTTTGTGGAAATTCCTATTACTGTAGCTTGTTGCCCAATTTTTGCAAAATATTTTGCAGTGTCAGATTCCAGGTTTATTCTGCCATAAGTGCTCACTTGTATGAACTCATGGAAGGTATGGAAGCATGGCCTAGATGACCAAAATGACCTAACAGTCTTGGATTCCCCTCCACCCCCAAGTGGATTACCTGGCTAAGAAATGGTGGGGCTACATGTTGTGGCCATAAGCTGTGGCAGCAATTTTTGAGAAACAAGAAAGACAGCTTTACTGTAGCATGGATCATCAGAACTCTGAAGCCACAGCACTTGGAACAGGCTTACTGCCAAAGGGACACAACCCATTTCGTGGGTCATGAAGCAACCATTAAGGTCTGTGCAGCTGCAGCTATGCTGGTAATGATATCAAGCTGTAGCAGATTTAAACCTTGACTTTTCCAAATCTATATATACCTCCAGACTCAAAAGTCACCTGAATGAATAGAAAAATGCAATGGCTTCCAATTATAGGAAAGTCAAGTTATTAGTTAGATCACTACTGATATTCTAGGATGAAAACAGAAATCCAAATATTGGCATAAATGAAGTCACAGCCTGGGTGGCCCAGGGTCATTCACACATGCTGCAGTCTACCTTGATTTAAATCTTATAGCTTATTTACATTTTTTCTTACCTACATCTAGTTGTAAGATGGCGAAGCAGTAACATCTTTCCTTATAAAAAAATATTATAAACTATAGATCTGGAATGTTTTACACAGGAACTACATAACTGGTATGAAAAAAAGAAAAAGGTATTCTCTCCTGTGACTTACAAGCTATGTTAATAGCATTCTCTGGGAGAGACTTCACTCCTGTATTACAATTTTAAGGAGCAGTTATAAATAGTTCTTAAAAGGTTTTAAAAACTTATCAAATTATATTAATTCTCTAGGCTAGATCTTGCCTTGTGTAAAAAGCAATAGAGAGGTCTGCCACTAGAAGAGTAGTAGTACAAGGATAACTGAATCAAGTACACTTTTTGCTTACAGATGGGATATTATCTTCTATCATCTGTCAGTCACAATAGAAACTGCAAGAGAAGGGACAAAGTCAAACTCCCTTCACTCAATTCCCCTATCTGTCCATGGGTGACAATTCTACTGAATAAACAGCAGATCCTATTTTAAGCCCCTGTAGTCTTAAAACATAACAAAAAATTAAAACATACACACTGTGAAAATGTGCATACATGCCTTTTCTCTGGTAATGCTTAAACAGAAAATATAACTTAGTCTCTAAACCGAAAGAAATATATAGATTCTACATCTAAAATATTCCACATATTTCCATTAAAAAAAACAAAAACAAACCAAAAACCAACACAGTAAGGAGACAGATCCAACCTGGTTGCTCACAAGAGTCCAAAATTTAAACAAATATATCAACTATTTTCTACCTGAAAAATATTAGAAATCCTCTAAACATATAACTTTACTTTTGCAAGCAGTTCAAAGACACTCTTAAGTTGTAAGCTATGCCTTTAATTTCCTTCTTATGGATAATGAATGCATATACAGTCATGACATGAGTTTGCACAGTCTTTAATCATACTGGGGGACAATTACAGATATGTAAAGGGCAGCTCAGCTAATAAAATACAGGTATCAAGGGCCATTTTTGATGCCCAAGAGAAAACTATCAGCTGGACTCCAGCTGCCACAGAAGAAAAACACACATTTCCCATAGGTCCTATGACATCTTTTAGCTCTATAAGGCTGTCTTAGATCACCTGGAGCACATGCGATGGCACTCAAGGCCTATATTTAGCAGTTACATCACTCAAACACTCCTGTTGACCTCCATATATTATCTCAAGAGTAACTGTTTCTCAGCATAAAAAGATGATGGTGAAACAAAAAATATGCAGTACTGGAACTCAGAATGATTTGCCTTTAGCAATGACACACAAGACCTTGGACTCTCAAACCAGTAACAGCAAGCAGCCACTGCAGACCTGCAGGTACCATCACGCAAGAGATTAAAATAAAGTATAATTATCTCTCTCAAACACCAGGTTACAGGCTATACCATCATTCTGGTGTGGGTATATATATTATCAGAAACATTTTCTGAAAAATTATTCACAGTGGTGTTATCTCTCTCTTTTGCATATGTTCTCTGCCATCAAAAAGCACAGAAGACTAATCTTTCATTTGCCAGGAATTCCTGTGCCGATTCGTGCAACCAATGAAACAGCAGCAAAGGGTCCATCATAAGCCTGGCTCTCTTTTTCTACTCTCTAACTTAACAACAAAAAATAAACTACATTTTAAGTATAAAAGAAGAGCAAAACCAATTCACATAAACCTATTTCCCCAATTTGCAAACTTGCTAAAGAGAGCCAAAGAACCATGTGGAATCGTCAGCACGATTTATGCAAGAAATGAAGCAAAGCACTTACCGTGTCTTGAGATTTATCTTTGACATCGTAGACTGTTAGTTTTATTTTAGTCTCCTCATAGATAGGGTATTCCGGTGGGAATGTCACACCAGTTAAAAACAGTGGATCTTTTGTACCCTGTGTAACATGAGTAAACATTCAGTAAGGTAACAGCTGTGCAATGTGTAGTGTTCCAGTGCAGATGTACAGAAACTGTGGGCTCTTTCAAAAACTTTGCTTCTACAGCAGAGAGATCTGAAAAGCTAAGTATTATCCAATCAATAAGAAAACTGGAGAACTTTAAAACTTTGTCAGGAAAGTTTCAAATGACTTTCTGGAAAGTTTTTCAACTGGAAGAGATATTAAGTGTTTCTGAAACAGAGACTAACAACATGCCTTTAAACAACTCAGCAAATATCAGTATCTGGAATACAACATGCAATAAACCATCCCTTTCTTTCTCGCACAATACTCTCTGAAAGTACCACAGTTTCATATTAATTTAAATAACCTAAAAATAAAACTTACACACAAACAAAAAAAAAAGAGATCTTCATTAAATCACAATGTCTACAGAAATGCTATGGAGACTCCCTGTATTACATTAAGCATTCTGCTTTGTGGGGAGGGGATTACACTACCCCTCTTAGGCAGCAGTGGGGCAAGAAAACATTCCTGTATTTTGTAACATGATTATATCTAAAAGCTCTACAAAGAGGTAACTATTATCACAGCTTCAAGCACACAGACAATTAAATGAAACATATAAAATGGTGCTTATCATTTCCTAATGTTTAATTATAGTTAATTTCCAAAGATTACCAGGCTAGTATCCTTAAATTTTTGTAGAAAACAGCTTTTCTGTGCCCCTTTCTTCCCCCTCCCCTAAACCCTGACTGTGAAGCTAAGAGCCTTGACACACCAAATTCAGGGATTTATTCAGATCTAGGACATTGTGTTAGGAAATGCATCAACTTCTATACATACATATATTCCATCTTCTGCACAACATCACTGCAGACAGTCTGCAATGAAACATCCTGATCAGACACAAGATACCTGAATTAAGCAGTTTCAGGATGGTTGATGGCTGAAACTATAACAATTTAATTAGTAGTTGGCTGAAACTGATCACACAAAGAGCTCATGAAATATTTCTACTGTATTTAACAGTTGAAAGAAGCCTTTGGCAAAACCCTGTGTGTGTTTATAATAAGACTTCCCACTTCTTAATGAGTCTCTCCAGTAAGTTAAACAAGTTACACCTACATTGCCTGCTCACACTTCATTTTCTCTGTGAACCATTTTTGCTGGTTTTGACACTTACGCTTATACAGCAAAGCAAAGATATAATACGTGATGCAAGACACTAATTATTTTATATAAAGTCACAGACATTACATACATACACTCCTTCCCTAATTTTAAAATATTAGGCTACTTCTAGAAATTGCAAAACATCAACTTTCCAATGGAAAAAAAATAGAACAAGAAACAGGATAACAGACCATACAATACACCTATGTTCTTCTGTAATTTAAAAATACTTTACCAACTCACTGCACTCTTAATTTAGTTTTACTTTGCACTGCCTTGTTCTTTCATGACAGTAACTATTCCCTGTTTCATTCTAGACTTACGTCTGGAGAACCGGAGTATTCTCTACATCTCTACTTGGAACAACACAGCTTTAATGAAAAGCCAAGTTCATTTCTAACTGTTTATCCTGGTTAAATGCCAAGAACTACAGAACACTCTTAGGTATGCTTTAGTAACTGCCAGAGTGTGCTTGTCTTACCTAAGACTATGCACTAACTTGTTTTATTTCTCATTCCCTTTCTAAGGAAGAAACGAGCTATTTATTAATCAACATGTTAATTGAATTAAGAAAGACTCTCACCTCCACGATTTCAGTGCTTGAATACCTCGTCAAAATGTGCTCTGCTGGATATAGCACTGAGACTTGTACGAATGTATTCAGCTTCCGATCACGGGTAGCAGTCACTAGATCCTTGCATGCTGGAGACAGTACAAAATAAAAATGAAATTCTCAAAAGAAAACTCTGGGAAAAAGCTGTCACAGGCACAGGACAAAGCAGACTAAGCGCCGGCTCCAGATCAGATCTCTAGAGACAAGCCGATTTAACAGAGGAAGTCCCTTGGAAGTTACTGACAGAAATAGGAAGTCACATGCTGCAGCACTGAACTGAGATTTCGTTTCCACTAAAAATACTTGCAGCTTCTGCAAAGCTCCGTGCCAGAGGCTCATCAGCCCCAGTATATGAATGTGCGTGCGCATACACACACACTTACACACACTGCAACATTAGGTAATTATGTAAACATAAGTACTTACTCCATTTGCCACAAAATCTCCCTTAGCAGCCTAATTTGATCATCTCTTGTCTGACAATTTTCACAGTACACAACCATTTTAAACACATTCTAAACTAGTTAAATGCTCTCAGTGATTAGGTTAGTTTACACAGTCTGATACTACATTAGGAACTTTTTAGTAGAATTAATCACTGAATAAAAATCTACGTAACTAAAAGCAGACAGCAAAACAACCAATTCTTTTGTCTGGCATATAAATTAGAAGAATAATTGTATTCTGGCTATGTCACATCATTATTAAACCTTATTCTAGCAAACAAGTATAGAGAAATTCAGCTCCTGTTTAATAATTTGCTGTTACCCTGGGCTCACTAATGCAGGTGACTGAGTTCACTCTTTAGACTAATACACCTCATCCCTTCTAACCAAAAGGATGAAAGCACCAAAATGGAAAAGGAGAAAAGAAACAAGTGCCCCATTAGCTGTTTTGCAGAAGGGATGTAGACTAACGAGGCATGCATTGGTTCAAAAGCAAAACCCATTCACCTTACATTCTTCAGCAGAGAAGACACAACAGTGAATACTGTGATAGCACCTAGCTAGTGCTTTCCGCAGAGCATCACACTACACTGGGAACTTAGAATCCAGAGGAAAGGAAAGCAAACCCCATGGGTTTGGAGAGGCTAATTGTCAAGAAAATGCTGTGAAATTTTCTAGGAGTCACTGCCAACCACGGGCTTCCTCAAGTGCACCTGACCTTTAGCGTTTTGAAAGATGAGTGATTATCTTCACAGCAAGCAAACCTGGCCTGATGAGAAGTCAAGGCAAGGAAAGCTCTGATACATACAAAAGGCCAACTCAGCTTGGTTTATACTTTTTTTTTTTTTTTTTGAGTGGGGGGGCTAGGGCCTGCTGCTTGAGGAAATAAAAGGAAAACTGGCTGAAGGTTTTACCACTCCTTCCATAACAGTTAAAAGGGAAAAAGGAAGCAACTAAATCTGATCTTCACTGAGCATTTTGAAGCTTTTGCTTTAGCCCAAACTCCCAATGTAATCTCTTGATAGACAGTCTCAAACTGACCCTATCATAATTTGGTGGTACAAGTAGGATAAGACAAAAAGGAAAAAAGAAGGGAAAAAGGAAGGGAAAACAAGAGACAGGAAACTTAGGAAAAATTAAAATAAATCTCCCCAAAACTCCACCAGTGACTCTGGCAGGAACCCTGCAGCTGAACTCTTGTAAAAGGTACTGGAGTATGTTGGAGATAAGTCCCTCATAAATAATAATTTGATTTACTTGTGGGATGTCTCAAATACATAAACTAGGTGTGACTAATTCCAATAGCACAGGCTTTTATCCTATTGACAAACCTTCAACAATAGGAAGATGATTTGCACTAAGTGGTTACCACCTTGGTGATATTTGAGCATAGGCGACGACTAATTTCTATGATAGCAGGACAATCCAGTCATTAGATCATTTTCCTGCAAGAAGGCAGCTTAGTAACACTATCTAGAATTTCATTGGGTACAGCTGACATGAAGATAATTCACTTGTATCTCTCCAATGGGGAGTATCAGCACAAAGTACCAGAACTCTTTAGAAAATCCTAGGGCAGAAGGATAAATGAAATTAAATAAAACCTCTGCCTACTTTGTCTCTATTGTGACATTGTGCTACTGCTGTTCACAACTATTTCTTCAGTTAGAGGGGATATTCGGTAAGGTTGATGCTGGCAGAGAAATGATTTGGTATGACACAGAATCTGTTAGTTTGAGCACAGTGCATCACTTCCCTTAAAAACAGCCCAACTGAACTATTTAACACAACATAAGGACTACTTTTAAGCTGATAGCAAAGAAAGAAGAAGTTTTTTTTTTTATATCCTCTTTATAGCCTGGCAAGTTCCACAGCCCCACATGGCATTACTGCCCTTTGAACTATTTTACTGCCAGTACCTCTGAAAATCTTAAGGCTTCTCAAAAAACAGCCAACACACTTCGGAAAAAGCAAAACATTACGTGGCTGTGGAAGTGGAACTCCAGCTACATGTTATATATTTAAACACATCCACTGGGCATTATTGACATACTATTCAAAAAGAAACTGTTGAAAACACAAACATTAAAGGCTTGCTAAGGCTTTTTTCTTAACTGCAAATATAGTACAGCAAAAGCAGGTAACAGTGTCAATGCATTTCCCATCATAACCTACAGCCAAGCAGACCATATAATAGGTCACACTAATACTTTACTATGCTTGAATTAATTCTGAAAAAATTCCTCAACAAAACTCAGTGAAATGAAGTGACAGCTTGTACCTACATGCCAAAAGTATATGAATCTACTCATTGTGACTGTTGACTCAGTGTAGAAGCTTGAATCATCCATTCTCCTGGTGATCCCATCTCTTCTAAGCCTATCAGCGTACAATGAATGTTTAAGAAAGAACGGTATTAGGGATAATTTATGCTTTTACATCACCAAAGAAAGAAGCTAAGATGACAGGAAGAGAACTCCTCTAAATATTAAGCAAAGAAGAAGAAGAAAAGACAGCAAAGTAATCACTACGTATAGAGCAAAATGAAAGGCTTCAGGGAAAAAGAATTGCTCTAGAATATATTTACAAATATTTATGTATTTTGCAAAATTCTGTGGTTTACATATAAAACTGTCTAACCATTTTAAATGCCTTAAAACAGATAACATTTAATCAACCATCCTTCAACATTTACTTTTCTAAAGAATAAAAGCAAAGAGAATATTGTTACGAACATTACTGTTGTTGTTCTACTATTAAAACTATAATACTATTCTTACATGAATCCCAGTAAACAAGTGCTCCTTGTCTATCAGTCATGCCTATACACTGACCTGTACATTCCAGTACCATTACAACGCACACAAACTATGTGTGCTGTAAATGCAAAATGCACAAGTAGCTGTTTGACTCTCGAGTCCTGCCACATTCAATATTTCACTAGCTTCTATGCTGCACTGACATGCTGGCTGTGCTCTTCATCCTTCTGTGAGCGTGTGTGCTCATGTAAAGACAACAGAGGAGAAAGACTAGTTACTGTTTCCTCAAAACTGGGCTATAATATAAACAGAGCAGAATCTTGCTTCACCGTTTCAGTGATTGATTCATTGGATCTGGGAGGATTTTCTGAAAACACTACTTCCATAGAGGAACAGAGCACAGAGAGAAAGATTGAAAAATCCCTGTGAGTATATGAAAATGAAAAGGGGTAAAGCAAAACAAAATACAGTGTGAAAATTCATCATCTACCTTCCATGGAACTGTAACAGTTCTGACCAGGCATTCAGCACTACTCCAAGTGCTAAGCCCACTGGAGCCAAAATAAATGAATCTGGTAGAGAAATGGGGAGATGCAGCATCTCCCAGAACTTAAAAAGGTCTCGTAGCTGGAGCAAACAGACATGGGCAGAGGGAGTGAAAGACACCCTGAGCTCAGAATTCACACAGCTGTTTGGGAAGGAAGCCAAGGACTAGCAAAAAAAAATGGTAAATGGCATTGAAATTGCAATGTTTATTTTTGTTAGTGAGGGAAACTACAGCACACTGGAGAATGTCTTCCCAGACTACAGATTCACACAATGCATATATTAGCCTACATGACAATTTGAAAGGTAGCTTTTCCTCTAATTGGTGACAGAAACACAATTTCCCACAGCTTCATCTCTCTCCATTTTCCAAACCAAAACTTATTCCAAGGGGCTAGCAAGGGACACAAATTAAGCACCACAGCCCCACTGTCCCCAGGGCACACTATTTTGCATGCTGTCAAAAGAGAACAGAAAATTAGTAGTATCTGAGGACAAGAGTCATGGGAGAAGCCTGTGTGTCTCACACACATGTATATGTGAACATAATGTTCAAAAGTTGTTTGGAGTTTTTTTCATTTCATTGGCATTGCAGCAGTGTTATTATCCCAAAGCAACTTAGTTTATAAATAATAATGTACAGTCTGTCTTGGTAGACTAATTAACTGAGGTGCAGCTATTCCTTAGGGAGCAAAAGGACACATTAAATAAGAGAACACTATATTCAGACCTGTGCTACATGCAGAACGCTAAACAGTACACCAATTTCCTTCCTCCACCCTGGGGGTTGTTGAGAAGCATGGGGAGGTGTACGAGAAGGAAGGGCACACCACCACTGCTTCTGTCTCTGCTGCGAACACACAGCACTAACCAAGCTTGCTGAAAAGAATACCTTCAGTAAGGCACATATAAAGGCTTAGGAATAATCCAACTTTAGAACACAGAGGAAAGGCTTTGGCCATACTTTTGAAGTAGGAATGTAAATACAGCTGCAAGAGGGATGAGAACAGGACAAAGATGTGTTCTTTGCATGGCAAAACATGCCTGAAAGCAAATGAGAGAAACATCTGGGGACTGGTATTAACACAGAAAGATGTTAATGAGCACCCCTCCAGATAGTGCTCCACAATAAATATTATTAATTAGTTTATCATAAATATTCCTAATTGGCCGTCCCATTCACATTTCAGAGGAATGCTTCAGTTTGCTGGTTGCTCAAGAGCACTTCTACCTAGGGACCAAAAGAACAGAGAAGCTATTCCAACAACAATTTGCAATGTGGACTCCCAGTAAAATTTACTGTAATACACTAAATATCAAAGGATGCAGCCACAGAAA